CAAAAATGTACCACTATGTTGTTTAAGACAAAATTCAATTTAGAGTCTTAGAGCCTCAGCAGATACTGGTCTCTCTGGTTTCGGAAGGGAAACTGGTGATGTTGTAGGCTTCTTTATGGGATAGGTGAGTGAACATGCTCACCCTCCCCATCATTATGGGTAGTCTGGAGATGGCAATGGGCCTGGAGAACAAAAGGAAAACGAGAAACTTCTCCCCATATACAAACACCCCCCAATTTCTCTAAGATAGCAGCTGGAGCCTGAAAGTGTCAGTGCTTTCCCTTAAGATTTTATGTGGGACCTTAGAGGGATCCACCAGGGGAACCAGAGGAAAGAGGGTATGAAATAAAGCCCGTACCAAAGATGTTCACATCCTAATCTTTCGAACCTGCGAATGTTTGGCTGCCCAGAAGGAAAGAGTACTCTGATGAGTCTATGATCCTCCACACCATCATTACCCACGGGAGCATAAGGATGTTAATTTTTCCTCCACGACCCTTTGTTTTCTCATCTTTACAATGGGTTAACACTAGCAGACTCCAGATTCTTTTAAATCACAGTGTGTTTATATGACTTATTTGGAGTTTAACGTTGGATTTTTAAAATATGTATATGTATTATTCTTATGAGCACTTTTTAAGGTAAATATGATGGTGTGGAAATAGTTTGTGGGTGTATTTCAAGGATTCATGTTGGTGGGAGCAACATTCCTTGTGTGGCAGCATTAGGACATTTTGGAGACAGAGTTCAGTGGGAGTTGGTTGGGTGGTTGGGGATAGTTGTTGGATGGGATTAAAGTAGTTATCAGACTCTGAGCTCCTACTTGTGAGAGTATTGTCGTAATGGAGCTCCCCCGACTCTGATTCTGGCTTTGTGCGTCCCCAGGTTATCTCTCATGCTTGCTCTCTCTTGTTACTGTGATGCACCATGAGGTGACTTAGTCAACAGGGCCTTCACTGGGACCAGTACCATGCTGTTTGGACTTTTAGCTTTCAGATCTGTGATGAATCAAAATTCATATGTCCTATCATCCTATGATGGTAATATTTCATCCTCTCGATTTAGAATTGCCTAAGAGATACATCTTTGGGTGATCCCATGAAAGTGTTACCAGAGATATTTAAGCAGAGAAGACACACCCTAAATATGGGTAGAACTTTCACAGTGGCTGAGGTTCTTGATTGAATTAAGAGAGTAAAGAGAAAGAGTTCTGAGAATCAGTATTCATCTCTTTCTGCTTTCTGACTGCAGGAACACATTATTTGCCTTATGCTCCTATAGCTATATCTGCTGTGCCATCTCTCAAACAATGCACCTACCCCCCAAGTCCCTGTCCTTTCTTTAAACCGTTTCTGTATTGGTATTTTGTTATAACAGTGAGGAAAATAAAATACCCCAAGTCCTTCGCTTATATTAGGATTCATCTTCAATATTGTATATTTATGGATTAGGACAAATATATATGGTAATTTATTATTATAGACTCGGAATATTTCCAGCACCTGAAAAATCTTTGCTAGCCTGACCATTTTTCCATTCTTCCCAAATGTATGGCTTTCTAAGGAGCTACTGACATACATACTTATGACTCTACTAGTTTGTATTCCCACCAGTCATGAGTGAGAGTCACTTCTGCTCTAACCTCACTAGTTTTGCATGTTATCAAGCTTTTACATTTTGGCTATTCCAATTGTGTGTCAACTTCTGACATTAAATAAGATCTTATCTTTGGGTTACCCAGCTTTGAGCCCAGTTCCTCCACCCTTCTGTAGCATTTAGTGCCAAGACACAGTTCAAAAGAAGAAAAAAGGAAGAAAATAAATTGATAGAGAGAAAGTATGGATCCTTCAGGCTCTCGAATAGGGAATCCCCACTACCTAACACTGTTTGGGGGCAGAGATTATAGCTCTATAGTCTAAAGAAACTTTCATAATATAAAGGTGTGTAGGGTTCTGGCATTTTGTTTCTCAGAGAAAGATAAGAAAAGCAATGAGATGAGAGGAGAAGAAAGACAAGGGAGGAGAGACAAGGAGCAGGAACATAGTAGGACCTAGTCTGTACAGAAATGCTGGTGGGGTTTCCTCCTCAAATGCTCTGTCTCTTCTCAGAATGTGGGGATGGGGCACTGAAAATGCAGCCCCTTGCACTTCTTTTTTGTGTCTCTGGTTTACATTATTCTTCTTATCAGTTTAGTACTGTATTATGTCCAACTTTCACACAAATGAATGCTGATTAATTGAAGCAAGGCCATTTGTACCATGATGGCAAGGCTTAGAGGGCACACACTTCTCTGTCAAATTCCAGAGGTTACAATGGTCCATTAAGAAGCACTGGGGACACACTGTTTGAGGAGAATACCTAAAAGTAAGTAAATTATTTCAAGTTACTTGACCTTTCATTGGTCATTCCTTTTTCCTAATGGGTATAGGTGAGAAGTTCACTACAGATGACAATGTTACTCTTTGTAGATTGCTATTCAAGACCCTAGAGAAGTGTATGAACAGAGGGAAAGCAGGATTTAAAGCCTGAATAATAGCTTGTCTCCTTTAAAGCACTGCAGCTAGTGTAGCTTCCAAGTCTAAAGAGATATAAATGCAGTGGAATTATTTCAACATTCAAATTACAATTAAAACCATTGCTAGAGTTTGGGGTATACATTGTGTTCAAAATAATCTCTTGATTAAATTTTGTGATATTTTACAGCCTTCTTTATGGTTAGGACAAGATTATTTTTAGAATATTATGAACTTATAAGAAATGAGTAGATTCACAAACTATGTTTTTGTCTATTAGTAAATTGTTTATGAGAAAAGCACAAGAAGAAACTTGACAAACTACTGTTCTTATAAAGGAGTATTTTGTGGTGATATATTATTTATGATTTATTAAAGCTTATTTGAGGACTCATAAAGGAAAGTCAGCCTCAAGCTATAGAGATCAGGCAGTGGTGGTACACACCTTTTAAACCCAGGAATCAGGATTAAGAGGTAGACCAATCTCTGTTAGTTCAAGGCCACTAGGACCTACACTAACAGAACTCATGCCTTTAGAGCTCAGAACTTCTATTGTCTTTTAGATGTTGGCTGATTACCATTTGTTGGACTGGCCTGGGTGGGTGGGGGAATGGCTCCTATCCTGTATAACAAAAGACTTGGGCGAGGGTGAGTCTATACCAACCCTGTGGGCTAGTGAGACTGCTGGTGTGGGGTGCCTGTGGGCTTGAGTATGTGCTGCTAAGGAATGTCTCTAGGAGGAAAGGAAATATTTGCTGTCAGCCTTTTACACATGATAATGGATGTCTTCTGTTATTACCCCCACTTTTGGATGGTTACTTAAGATGATGCTTCAATAAATCGTGGCCTTCAGTATTAACTGGGAGCCTTCCTGATATTACCAGATGTTTCTGTCTCATCTTTAACAACACTGGATAGGTAGGCCTTCCTTCATCCACACTCCCTGACTCAGGGTTGGACCCAGGATGTTCAGCTGGTCCCGACTGCAGCCCCAAAGACATGAGTCCTTGGTAAAAGGGTCCTTGCAACATGGGACTAATATAGACCGGACCATGACACAGGAACAGGGTCTCAGAGCTGTCATTCATTCTCCAGTCACACTGAGGATAGGAAGACATTCAGTCTTAGGATTCTCCAGCCATGTTGAGAAGAGCATGGCAATTTGGGATTGCAGTTTAAAGTTCGGTGGAGCCAGGATTGCCTTTCAGCCTGAGGTAGAGGTAAGAGCTAGTGCCTGACTGCTTTGCTTTTCTGATCTTCAGTTTGAAGTTTGAACCCCAATATATGTCCCTGGGTTTTTTATTTTTCGTGCTACAGTATTTACAATAGGCAAAATGACATAAGTATAATATACCAGCTTCAAATTACCATACTATAGTTCAATACACTAAGCTTCAAATTATCACAAATTTCTTTCCCCAGCTTCTTTTTCAAGTCAACCTAAAATTGAGTTAACCATCATTTAGAGACACTAGCTATTGAGAGTTTTCAATGCTCTTAAAAGGAAAGAGCAAAGTCTTCTAAAGTGACTATGACATGCTTAAGTAAATATTTTCCCCAAAGGTTCACTGTATAATTTAACTTGAGCAGATATGAGTAAACACAGACCTGCTGCAATATTTTAGTGAGTAATTTACTATTTCCTCTAATTTGGAAAGCCCTTTAAAACATACAAAATCTGCTGCGATTTCCCATAACACCACTTTTTTTCCTGAAGGTCTTACAGCTTGGATAACCAATAGTGCTCACAAATCTGTTCATCAATGGTCTCAGAAACCCTAGAGGAAAAACAGATCTCTGCAGCTTTTCATTTTCACTCTACCAGACCTTTGCTTCATTGACCCCACATGACTTCACAATGAGTTTACAGATCCAAAGACATTTCTGCTCTAGTAAAAAGTGTATGTGTGTTTAAGATTTACTCTTTGTCAAGAGCTTTAAGTCTGACCTAGAAGAATGATAAGCTTATCCTGGAAGGCAGCTCAGTTCAGTATTATAGAGTTACTCATGAAAGACCTCGCTGTCACTACTCAAACTGAAGTAAAAACTCAAAAAAAAAAAAAAAGAAAAAAGAAAAAAGGAAAATGCTGGCAACTAACAATGAATGCACACTGCGCTAATGTGACGACAGACATACTACAAAAGTTCAAGTAGATAAAGTGGCTACCATACAGCCACAGTGTCAATTTGGAAAATCCCCAGAGAAATAGCTACATTTGGGTATATAGCCTGGCTTGCCTTCATAAGAAACCTCAGAATTTCAGGGTGTGCTGGGATGTGGACAAAACGGGTAAAAGTGACACGAACATCTCATTGGGAAGTAGCGGGACAGTGGTACCTACAGAAATGACATGTGTGTATGACAAACCCATATTAACTTCAAAGATGCCATCTCCTACTAGAGAATGGTGGAGAATACAAAGTGACATCAGTTCTGCTAGCTGTGCCAGAAAATGCCTGCGTTTTGCCACTATATTCCCTGATTACCTGTGAATACCTCCACTTAAGACATTTGGTAGCAACCGGCTGAGGCAAACCCGGCAGAATGGTCTCCAGTTGCTGGCTGATCATCTCCTGCACTTCCTGCTCACTGTGCTCCATGTGTGTAACTCCGAATGGGACCGTGGTGTGGACTACCAGGGATGGACCAAACTCCGATGACTCTGTAGTGTGAGAGGAACACAGAGATGAGTCTTAAAGTGGGGAACTGGAAGCACAGCCCAGGGTTTGAGTCCGAAGTTAGAAAGTGATCAAAACAATCAGAGGGAGAAACGAGCTGATGGGCTCCAGCATGCATGAGGCTGTTTCGGACACAGCTTTAGCTCTCCTGGGGAGGGAGGGAGGTAGAAGACACGCAGCTTTAGAAAGCAAGATTTCAGGTCTTTGTAAGAAACTCGAGGAGATGACAAGAACCCCGGCTCTGGGTACAGTTAAAATCATTGGTATTTCTATCTTCTCTTATTATCAAATTGTAAGCCTTTCATATATTGTGTATGTTCTATTTTCTTAAGTTCTGGGAATGAAATGTATGTTCAGAAATATGTTTATGTTAGGAATACTGGAAAATATTTTACTAAAATTATAACAACTCTGCATTATGTTCAGCACCCTGAAAGAGAAATTATCTTTTTGAAAACAGAATTTTCCTCCTAATGTTATTTCTTGTACTCTTTGTGTGTATGCGAGACAAGGATATGTTATATAGCCCAGGCTAGCCTTCAACTTGAGACCAGCTCCTTCACCCTCTTAAGTGGTGAGAGTGTAGTTGTGCCACTATATCTTTCAGTTGACAAAAGAAGTAAAAGTCTGTCCCATCTATAACTTCCCATTTTTACTTATCACTGAATTTGTTTTTGCTGTATTTTCATGATTACAAAAATGTGTACACGCCTGCATAAAAAAAACATAAGGTCACCAATAAAGCATGAAGTTAAAGACATTTAGGAGACTAAGCCATTAGAAAATATAATCTTGGAAAGAATGTTAAAATGGGTTTGTTTTAAATAATATTGATGAGGAAGTTATGAAGAATAAATTTATGTAGTACGGCACTGACATATTGGCAACTTGATTCTAAATGCCTCTCCTTTTATATTACAAGAGGTCATACTATTTGAGCTCTAAGGGTTCAATTTTACATACAAAAATAACAGGTTAAATGACACATGCCAATCACTTGGCATATGCCCAGCTAGTCTTTCTACATTTTAGAGATTTAATTTTTTAAGCTTGTACCCACCTAGGTTTATAATGTAACTAAAAGAACATACAAAATAGATGCTTCAAGTAAGATACAGGATGAAGGCAATAAATCAGCTAAAAAGGCAACATTCCTAGGTGTTGCTCAAATTATAGCCATGAATTATTTTTTAATGAAAGTACTTCATTTTCCCATTTCACTCAGCTTATGGATTTTTAAAGATAAGCACAAGAAATGGCCTTAAAATACAAAGACTCCCTGGGCATGCTGAGTCTTTATCCCTGAGTGCAGACTTCACTAATCCTGCACAGAGGGAAAGACTCATCAGTGCAAATCTGCAGTTCTTTCAGGGAATGCTTCCACAATAAGAAACCCTTGGCATGCTGCCTTTGTGCTTTGATGGTTTAAAAGGTGAGAGCTGCCTGTGCACCTGTGGTTACTGCTTTTCCCTTCCTGCTGCTGATGGAATGTGACCAGCTGCTTACATCTCTGCTTCCATGACCTCCCCACTATGATGGACTGCAGCCGAACTGTGAGCCAAAATAACCCTCCCTTATTTCAGTTCATTTGCTAGGGTATTTTATCACAACAACAGGAAAAGCACCTAAGATAGCATGTGCTATGTACATGTCAGTTAATACATTTATTATAGATTGGTTAAAAAATCTCATGAAGCTTGTTCATAGTGAAGGGGTACAATGCCATTCTCCATTATGTGGCACCAAGTCTTTCCAGAGACAGTTACCTCATCAGTGTTGGGAAGCAGGAGAATAGAGCTCTCCTTGTTGTCACTGGCAGGCTTTAAAAGGACCCAAATGCTAGATATGCACTGAACATCATGAAGTGCTCTCTCTTCCAGTCATGAGGACTAGTAATGGTGCACGACAAGTTTTGCTTGTTTACAATAGCCATCTCCTAGTAGGAGAGCAATAAAAAAGGAATCTTAAAACTCAAATTGAAATGCTTCTTGAATAAAAGTTAGAGAACAGAGAATAACCTGGTTACTTTTGATTCTTGGAATTGAATAAATTTTGAGAATTTATATTAAAATTGAGACTCAAGAAGAAGTTTTTAAAAATGACTCCAACCCCCAACTTTTAGAAGTTAAAGTGAAAAGAGAAAATACAAAGAGTCAACTAGAGTTTAAACACAACCAAGATGTGGAAACAAAAAAAAAATCACAAAGAACAACAAATTTGCTACTAGGAGTTAGGTCTAACGAGGACAGACATGGCAATGGAGGAAAAGACAAAATATCACGTTTTCATTCATATGCAGACTATAGACATGGGTAAACACACATATATGCATATGTTACTAGAATGCATAAAAGGGACTTTTGCTTGGTAAGGCAGGGAACTAGCAAGAATGGAGGAGATAGGATGGAGAAGGCAATAACAGGGCCAACAAAATCTATGCAGTGATACATATATGTGACACTCTCATGATGACACCTTCATTTTTCATGCTACTTTGAAAGTTAATAAAGAAAGCAAAATTTGAAGTGAATTGTGTTACTAAAATGTGATCTAGGTGTCACATTAAAATCTATCAAATGACCTCATATATGAGTCTATCCTCTCAAATGATACATTCGATTTTGGACATAATGTTTTGTTTTGAATGCTCAATTAGCTTTTTTGTATGTATGTGTTTATGCACATGTGGTCATATGTACATGTGTGGTCAAAAACAATCTTGGATGTTGGTCTTCAAGTGTTTTCTGCCTTTTTAGTTTGCTAGATGAAAGAAAGTACTTCAACATCAATAGGTAAGGCTAATAATAACACTAGAAAGCTGAGAAAACAAATGATTCTAATTGCCAAATTCTCTGTAAAAGAAAGAGTTGTCTTGCAAAAATGATAAAAAACACATTTAGCTTTCCATTTGTAGGCTATCATAACAGAGATCCCTACAGTGAGAGTCTGAACAAGATGATCTCTTGGTTAAACCTTTGAACATTTTAAAAGGTACCTAAGAAAATTAGTGAGTGATAGTGCCTCAGATTTCCTATTTAGAAAGATTTTAATTGAATGAAGGGTAAGAGATTTGAGTTCTTGGGTATTAAAAAAACATGGGAAAAAACAGAGATCAGTGCCAGTCATAAAGGCAGGAATAAAACCTCTCTGTATTCAACTTGTGTCATGGGGATTTCAAGGTTGCCATCCTCGTTACAATTTAACTTGCCCAGGATGGTAGGCTGCCACCATTGACCCACAATGACACAATTCAAGTTGTAAAATGCTCTGGTAAGGAATCCTGGTTCTGTTCAGTAAACCCTCCAACAGAATTGTAAGGGCAGCAATTATTGTCTTGCTCAAAGAAAATGATAGTCTTGCAATCAACTCACTGGAGTTGAATGATCTAAGGCTATCTGTAAGTAGCAATTTTATCTTACAAGCATTATCTGACCTCTTGAATTTTAGGAGCCCTACCGTCTGTCAGATGATTATAACTCCTTTTGTTCTCATAAAACTCAGCATGTGTTACCCTTCCACCTTTTATTGGAGTTGGGCTCTCTCACTGTCTCAGAACTTTGCCACATAGGTCTGGCTTGATGGCTACGAGTTTACTGGAATATGTCTGTCTCTACCTTTCATCTTGTTAATGGTGGGGCTACAGGTGTGTGCACAGCACCCAGATGTTTCAACGGTCCTGAGCATCCAAAAGCAGTCCTCATGCGTGTGCAGAAAGGGATTTATCCATAAGCCACCTCCTTTGAGTTAACATTTTACATCAATATAACAACATTAATTTTGAGATTCTTATCAACTAAATTCTGACAATTGACTGCTTGACCAATCAATGAGAGAAATATCTGATGGTGGCACCTTTGACAATTTCTCCTGTCATTTTTAAAATAATTTTTTATTCTTTCTACTGACATTACATTATTAGTTTCCTGATATTTGAACATTCTAATAACATATTTTGAAACTTTTAAATATCTAGAACTGTTTTTGAGTTGAAATCTTACTTTTTCTTTGTATTTCAGTTTTTTTCAGCGTGGGTTACTTTTTGAAAATTATATAAAGGTTATCTTTTCGTTATGCATTTTTTCTGTGTGCTGTGAGAGTGTATGTGTTAGTGTGTGAGAATGTGTGTGTGTGTGTGTGTGTATGTATGTCCCTGTCCATGTGGAGACAAGATGTGGATGGCAGAATTTTTTCCAATCACTTGAAACCTTAGTTTTTGAGACACAGTCTGTCCTTAAGCCTGGAACACATCAGGTGCCCTGATTGGTCAGCCAGCAAGCTCCCAGGTCCAGCTGTCTCACCTCCCAGCACTGCAATGGCTGGTGTGTGCAGAAGTACCTGGCATCTGATGCAGGTGCTGGGGAAATGACCTTAGGGCCTCACTTTTGTGCAGCAACTTTTTTTAATCAGCTGGTGTCTTCCCAAGTTCTATTTATTCTATTTCCTCCCAGTTTGAAAGTTTACAAGTTTACATGCTTATTTACAACTGCAAAAGATATTTGTATACATATTTTCTTTAAAGTCAAAAGCAAGTCAACATCCATCTCTATCCTTTTCTGAATGATACTTGAGCTCAGCTCTGATTTATGTGTTCCCATTGTCCAGGATTAGTTTTACTCTTTAGCTTCGTCCAACACCGCCAGTTTGTCTGCATCCATCTTAGTTTCTTTTGTGGATAGCAGGTCTCCTGTGAGACTTGTTTTTTCTTCCCAAAGTATCTTATTTTAAAATTCCTTAAATGATCCTCCCCACCCCTGAGGTAGTCACTCCCAGATTCTGATTTCACAGAACAGTCACCATACTCAATTGTGAAATACGAGTTTTTTGGTATATAATAATAAATTCAGTGTTGTCACTATTTTTTTAAAGATGCAATTCCAATGTAGGTTAGTTTCTAGAAATCTAATACTTAATTTGATTTCAGGCCATTGCATATAATTTTTCTTTTATGCCCTTGGTGTTTTGCAGTTTGACTCACATCTCCTGA